GGGTTTTCAGAGTTCTTGTCTGTATCCAGGGTTTAGAGAGTTCTTGTCTCTATCCAAGGTTTACAGAGCTCTTGTCTGTATCCAGGGTTTACAGAGGTCTTGTCTCTATCCAAGGTTTACAGAGTTCTTATCTCTATCCAAGGTTTACAGAGCTCTTGTCTGTATCCAGGGTTTACAGAGCTCTTGTCTCTATCCAAGGTTTACAGAGTTCTTGTCTCTATCCAAGGTTTACAGAGCTCTTGTCTGTATCCAGGGTTTACAGAGTTCTTGTCTCTATCCAAGGTTTACAGAGTTCTTATCTCTATCCAAGGTTTACAGAGCTCTTGTCTGTATCCAGGGTTTACAGAGTAACTTTTTTTTGGAGGGTTACCTGAGTTTACCCCTTTGATAAAATGACTTCAAACTATAAAATTTCTCATGCTACAAAAAATCAAATATATTAAATGAGAATAGCTTTTCCATCATTTGTCCAATTCACTATGATTCAAAATTCAAAAATTGCGTGATCACTTTAAAATAGTGACTTGCGAATTTCTTGCTATAGAAGGAGTATAAAAAATTGTGAAAATTAATAAGTTTTGAAGCTGGAAAAAATACTATATCTCATTGATTATCTACTAGATAAAGTTTATTTTTAGGTGTACAATTTTTAAATAAGAGTGTACTGTAATGTCGTTTGTAGATTTCACTAGTTGTTTCAGACAGCAGGAGAGACATTTTTTACAATTATTTAATAACCTGGAGTAAACATAAAAAAAATTATTTTACAGACTAATTTGCTGTTTAGGAACATATTTCTTAATGATAAAAATGATGAAAGCCATAGTAAAACCGTTTCTATAATTTCTTCAGAAAGTCGTCTTCACAATTAAAATAAAGAAAAATCTCAAACAAGCGACCCACTGAAGTGTACTTTTAAACACATTCAAATTACATTAAAGTGTACTTTTAAACACATTCACATTACATTAAAGTGTACTTTTAAACACATTCACATTACATTAAAGTGTACTTTTAAACACATTCACATTACATTAAAGTGTACTTTTAAACGCATTCACATTACATTATAGTGTATTTTTAAACACCATTAAATTACATTAATGTGTACTTTTAAACACATTCACATTACATTAAAGTGTACTTTAAAAAAGAAAAGAAAATTTATATTTTTGGTATATGATATTAATCTAAATGAAAAATAAAATTACTTGTAAGGCTGAATGAAAATAGTTGTTCTTTTGACAAAAAAAGTTATGAATAAAAATATCTATATGAAAATAATTACATAAAATTTCTAATATGAAATTTAATTTGTTACTTGTAATCTGTTTTCAAATACTAATAAAAACCTATTTAACTTTAAGATAATGTGCCCCTTAAAAAAAACAGCCTATAGGACACGCTAGAGATGAATCAGGAATAGGTGCGTGTACATGATTTTCGCCATGGGGAAATGTTTTTGGCACCACCTGGGTGATTTTTGGCCCCCCCTTTCCTTAAAAATGCTGTTATTTTATGCTAATAGTTACGGGATAGTAGCCATGTGTAGACATTAATGATCAGGAGAATCTATGTTGTACCTGGATAGATATGTGTTCGAGAAACTGTTATGGAGTAGGCGTTCACTACATACATGCCTGATTAGGAATAAATATGGCGACATATCCAATAGAAATATACATAATAGTGAGAAGGAGAAGGTTGAATTTACGCAACCCTACTGGTGGTAGAACTTTGTGACCTCGTAGCTCCTTCAGAGGGGATTTACTCCCACAACTATGAGTATAGTTAGAAATGAGAAATCAAAACATATTTGTTCTTTTAAAATTCGGTGATGGTGATGGACCGAACCTCTGTAGAGTAAAAAAAAATAGATGTTAGTTCCACATTTATTGAAAATATATTTCGGTCTGGGTTGACCCTCGTCAGCTCTAACGATATAATAACCATCAAAATTGATAAAAAAATTGAAAATTTTGTTTTGTAAAAAATCACAAGAAAATAAACAAACAAAAAAGATTATTCAAAATAAACATTTGGGATGTAAAAAAACAGCTAATTTATGATTAAGTACATATAAAACTTCAATTTTACCTTGTTCATGGTGAACAAGTTTATAAACTTCAGCACTGACGGATTTTTTTCATTTTACTGTGATGTTTTAAATCATCCATCTAAACTTGTGAATGTTCCCATTTAATTCAATAATATAACGAAAATCAGATTTTAATGCGTATAACTTATTATAAGAATAAACTAGCTTTAAATTAGTGTAAAAAATGTATTTTTTTTCTTTAGACTTCAGAGTACATGAAATACGTACATAATTCAATTCAACGAAGGGGGAGCAAAGAGAAGGAGGGGGAGAAGATACGAGATCACAAAGCCGTACCAGTAATGTACCAGCAAGTTTGCTACCTTCTCCTTCTGTCCAGGTATAGACTTTTATGATTTGTTTGGCAACATGCAAAAAAATCGCTTTTTAAAATTGCATTTTTGAAACCCTTTATACGGTTTCACCTCCCTTCATGAATGACAAAAAAGTGTAATACATTGTTTTTGGTTTAAGAAAATATGTTTTTTTTTAGTCCTAATTGCTAAAGTTAATCCTTTTAAATGAAATTATATTTTACCGATGATTGTCACAAGAGAAAAGTCGTTTTTTTAAAAATGTATATTGTAAAATGTTATTCAACACTTTATTTATTTTTGTCGGGTTCATGCTCAAAATAGTAAAAAAATGTTAAAATATTTTCTAAACCTAAAATCCGAAAAATTAAATTTTTTTATAGATGAATTGTCTCAAGATATCTATAGGAAAATAATTATTATATGCCAATAAAAAAATCTGAGCATGAACCCTCTAAACTGTTTGCGTAAATGTTGCGTCAAGTTGAATCTATAATCTGCGTATAAGATTGCGTATGTTGTGAGTCTAGAATAGAATCTCTATACCCGGAGAATATTGAATATATATCACAAGGATCAAGTATTTGCAGAACTGAACAATAAATATAGAAATCCCCCAAACCTCTCACATTTGACGCATTTGTACTCTCCCACTCTTTCTCTCTCTCTCTCTGGTTGCGTCAAATATTTGCGTATCTCGTCCGCTAATGATTTAATGCAGTGTTCAATGCGTGAAAGCAGTTAAATCCGTGGGTTTTCTCTATTTACAAGTAGGGAGGGAGGGGGAGGGGAGGACTGACTAGCACATAGGCGAGGGGGGGGCGGTAGCACTTTTCAAATTCACTATCCAGCTGTCAAGGGAAGAGTATTATAGGCTATTTTCTTTGCTGTATGAATATTTTTTTTTCAATTTTATGTTATAAAAATCATTTATTTATTAAGGTTTTAAAGGTCTTAAAGATTAAACTTTTTATAGTTTGTAGTTTTAAACATTTTATAGATCAAATTTTAAACATTTTAGAGATTATAGTTTAAAACATTTTTTAGATTTTAGTTTCAAACATTTTATAGATTTATAGTTTTAAACATTTTATGGATTTTAGTTTTAAATTTTATAGATTTTAGTTTTAAACATTTTATAGATTTATAGTTTTTGAACATTCATATCATTGTGAAATTGACAGAATTGAGAAAGCCAATTTTACTAGCACGCCTTTATGTCTTTGTAGCTTTTTTAATTTTGTTTTTCCGCACAAATAAGACAAGATCAAACTCTGAACAAAGCAAAACAATTTTTGGTGATGACTAACTTAAAAAAATGGATTTCGCTTTCATAATATTAGATTAAAAATTTAGCATACTGCTACAAGAGCAAACTTTTACAGTCCCTTTAATCAAAGAAACGGATGAGACTTTATATCAAGATATTATAACTAAAACTCGTTGATCATGACGATCCCTTGCAATTGTTGAATTTGGGGTTATTTGAAAATAGTATTTAATAAATAAAAGGATGACTTAAAAATAAAAAATGAAATAAAACAAATTCAAATTTTTAGAGTAACATTTTTGAGGATTGTAAAGCCTGCAAACAGCTTTAATGCTCAGCGAAAGAAATGTTTGCAAATATTTTTATGAACATATTTGTAAACATTTTGGTCCTTTTTGTAAACATTTTGATCATTTTGTAAACATTTTGAGTAATTTTGTAAACACTGTGAGTCATTTTCGTAAACATTTTGGTCATGGTCTAAACATTTGAGCCATTTTTGTAAACATTTTTGTAAACATTTTGGATCATTTTTGTAATCATGTGTTGGTCATTTTGTAAACATTTTGCGTCATTTTTGTAATCATTTTGTTCAAATTGTAAACATTTGGTCATTTTTGTAAATATTTTGGAAAACATTTTGGTAAACATTTTTGTTCAACCTTTTATAAAAACATTTTATAAACTTTTTGTAACAAAATGTAAACTATTTTTCGTAAACATTTATGCATATATTTTTGCTATAGGATAATAAAGTAAAAACTGTAAGGTGTTTTCAATAAAAATTTGTTTAAAAATCTAATAAACGTATTATAGAAGTTTAAAAAATAGGTTCACCAGAAATTATAAGACTTATGACGTACTTTAAAAAAACCTTACAGTCGTCTCTGAAGTCTCTATATAGGGCTTTGTGGGTAGCATTGATACATCAAGTTGAATTATAAAGAAAATTATAATTTAATCTAATTTTTCGGATATAAATTNTACATAAAGTATAAGAAAGAAAAGAAAATATCGTTAGCTCGTATAATTCATTAAAAAATATTGCAATATAACGCGAAATTCGTGTTTTTTCAAGAAAACTCTCGAAAAGTTTCCAAAATATTTATATCCTTTAAATCAAAGTTTTTCTTAACTATGATGATATTGCAAGAAGCTCGGCCTATTAAAGAGTAAGATAAGGATATAAAGACGATGTTGAGAGAAGGATGTTTGTGTGTCCGCACTCTGTGTGTTTGTTCATTTAGTAATGTAGCTGGCATTTCCCTGAACAGTGTGCGGGCCCTCGCAGCGAGCGCTCTCCCTCGGGCCCGGCACGCCTCACCATTCGGCGTTATTACTGATTCAACCCGCTTGCTAGACGGACCTATGTTGTGAGTGTACTCTGAACTTTTCACAGATTTTTGTGTACACAATCAGATTTTACGCAATTTACGCGGACGCCTGTAATGTAAAGTGATGACTGAGGTTATGGTAAGTACATTTTTCATTAATAATCATTGTATTTCGCGCATTATTTGTTTGTTATTGTTTTGTAAAACTTGCAAAGTCCCAGAGAAAAGTGGACTTAGAATAATTTTCGCGGTTTATTGCTTGGTTTAGGGTATTGCTTTAGCTTTACACCTGAAATTGCACTGTAACTATCATCTCTCTTTAGCGTAAATGAATTTTAAAGTTTTAAATCTTATGTTTAACCCATCCTTAAAGTATAAAGTTAAAATCATTTGTAAATGTGTTTAAGTGAAAACTTTTAAAAGATTTATCATAAGAAATTAGTAACCTGCTAAATAATTACTAACCAGCTACAATAATTATTTTTCGATTATAACTATTTTCGATTTTTCACGATCTAATAACATACTTAGAAAAAGATAGATTTAATTTTAATTTTCAATTATTAAGTTCATATCATGCATTTTCGAATTTTCGACTCATTTTTCTGAAATATATCCAAATTAGCTGTTTGCACTATAGTATTATTATTTTTTAGCACTAATCTTAAAAACAACTCATGCGCATTTTGAATAAAGTGTACATCACCCATGTCAAAATTGACAAAATTGTTTAAAGCTTGATGTGGTTTCTCCTGGTGGGATGAATGAACTTGATGAAATATTGAATATGTAACTTGAGTCAACATATTGTTGTCTACGAATTGGCAGATTCATACAATTGCGTAACCCACCCCATGCGTACACAATACACATCACGACATTTACGAGTTCAGATTCAAAATACGGTTCGTGTGTTGTAGGGGGGGTTATTATATATTTGAAACACTGTTTCTTCATATAAGGCCTGTTATAGTATCTCTTTACGAATAGAGTGTTTTGTTCAGAATTTTATATTTTTTTTAAATATTTATTTCGTTCGTTTTCAATACTTCTTTACTGTTAAGTTCCTTTCTTCTTTACTATTCCTTTATTCTTTACTGTTCCTTTATTCTTTACTGTTCCTTTATTCTTTACTGTTCCTTTATTCTTTACTATTCCTTTATTCTTTTCTGTTCCTTTATTCTTTACTATTCCTTTATTCTTTACTATTCCTTTATTCTTTACTTTTCCTTTATTCTTTACCATTCCTTTATTCTATACTGTTCCTTTATTCTTTACTGTTCCTTTATTCTTTACTATTCCTTTATTCTTTACTATTCCTTTACTATTCTTTACTGTTCCTTCATCCTTTACTGTTTCTTCATTCTTTACTATTCCTTTATTCTTTACTGTACCTTTATTCTTTACTATTCCTTTATTCTTTACTATTCCTTTATTCTTTTCTGTTCCTTTATATTCTTTACTGTTCCGTTATTCTTCACTGTTCCTTTATTCTTTACTATTCCTTTATTCTTTACTGTTCCTTTATTCTTTTCAGTTTCTTTATTCTTTACTATTCCTTTATTCTTTCCTGTTCCTTTATTCTTTACTGTTTCTTCATTCTTAACTATTCCACTAATATGACTGTTTTGTTGTTAATTATTTTTACCATTTTTGACTTGCTTTTTTATATTCCTTTTTCCCTTTCATATCTTATATTTTTCCTTTGCTCTCGCCCTCTCCTAGGTTTATTATTTTTAGGTTTTTGAATTTTTATATTTAAATTTTTGTGTTTTAAAATATCCATAAAAATTGTTTGTTTTACGCAAACGTTTGGAACGTGATAAGTATTATGAAAATGTGCACTGGCATGATATACATGTACACTAACATATAGTAAATTTCCAGAAAGTAAATATTAAGACCTCCATTCAGAGTTATGCAAATTTAAGCCGGCTAGTGGCCTAGATATATAGCTACAAGGGTTTCCCCTCCTTGGTTTTTAGACGCAAATATTTGACAACTCAACTATACTCAATTTATCTCAACTCTAATTGTTCCAGCCAGCTCAATCAGCTGTTGTACGCACAAAACGCGTCATGACGTCATCGTGTGAAATGGCCATAATGACTTTCGCAATTAGTGTTGTCTGATCAACTCCCCCCTCCCCCCACGATGCCCTGCTTTGATTGGGGGAAGGGGGAGGGGGGTCTGACGTCACAAATTGGGGATATACCACACGTTAACTGAGTTCACAGCTTGAAAATACCTTAGCTGGGTGCTATCTGTAATATAACTTCAATATACATTATATATAATATAATGATGATATATTTATACGGGTTTTAATTTAATAAAGATTTCATTGAATTTTTAAGAAATGCATGATTCTATAAAAATCGTTAATTATGTATAATATTGCGATTTTTTCTTCATTAAATAATTTTTCGCGTTTTATTTCAAAATAATTATTAAATTATTATTTGTTCATTTAAATTTTTCTGTAGAAAGTGTGTTAGTCAATAATTTTTTTTATTTCTGTGGGCCTTTTTAATTATTTGAAAAAAATAAGGTATTAAAAATTATATTTACCTCTGAAAAACGTTGCGTGTTTATATCTACCCTTGGTTCCCTTGTCCCTATTATAAATATACGAATAAATTGTTGCTTCTCCCGGCCTCGAAATCCTCGAAAGAAAAGACGACATAGCTCACAACTCTTTCTTTGTTCGGCCTAATGTCCCCTAATCAGAATACGGAATTATTTTGTGCTGGTGGGTCGGGGGGGNGGGGGGGTATTTTCTTTTTCACTTAAACCCACATGTACATAAATCGAGGTTTGGCAGTAAATTGTAACCAATCGTACATAATTATTTACCGTGTTAATGTACACTGTACATACATTGCACACCTCAATTGACTACAGTGTACATGTGTGTTTTAGGTTAAAAAAAGAAAGTTCAGTTTTTTATTTTAAGTTTTAACCCTTTTTTTCTAATTTTTGTGTGTGACGCGCTTACACAGAAAGTCAACCGTACACTTTACAGTTTAGGATTCACTGTACATTGCTGTACATTAGGGTCGGTGTACGGCCTCTATGAGGCTATGGTTGCGTGAGGCAGCATGGTGGAGGCCAAATTAATGGTGAAGCAAAAACTGAGACGGGGAAAGCTGTAATACTTTATTACTAGCTTCATTATATTATTTTTATTATTATTATTATTATTAGTATTATTATTCTTATTATTATTATTATTATTATTATTATTATTATTATTATTATTATTATTATTATTATTATTATTATTATTATTATTATTATTATTATTATTATTATTATTATTATTATTATTATTATTATTATTATTATTATTATTATTATTATTATTATTATTATTATTATTATTATTATTATTATTATTATTATTATTATTATTATTATTATTATTATTATTATTATTATTATTATTATTATTATTATTATTATTATTATTATTATTATTATTATTATTATTATTATTATTATTATTATTATTATTATTATTATTATTATTATTATTATTATTATTATTATTATTATTATTATTATTATTATTATTATTATTATTATTATTATTATTATTATTATTATTATTATTATTATTATTATTATTATTATTATTATTATTATTATTATTATTATTATTATTATTATTATTATTATTATTATTATTATTATTATTATTATTATTATTATTATTATTATTATTATTANATTATTATTATTATTATAAAAATAATATTCGGATTTGTGTCTTGCCATTGACTTTAAAATCTTATTTTTAAAATGGAAAAATAGATATTTTTCATTTTAACACATGAATTCTAGAGAAAGAATTAGTCATAATTAAAAAAAAAAATAAGTCAACTTTTGAAAAATTATCAAAAATAATAAAATTTACTATTTTTTGCTATTTTTCATTCTTTATGTAATCATTTTTAGGATTATTTTTCTCTAGAATTATAAAAAGGAATCGGAAATAATAATCTTAGGTTTAATTCAACATATAACTCATTTTTTAATACTGCAAATTAATCCCCCCCCCCCAATCCTTTCATCTGCAATGCCCCTTTTTATATCAACAATACGTATATTTTACCGTATTCCAAGTTTTTCTGCGTCTTTAAGGAATGTGTAAAGAATGCGTAGTGTAGGCCTATCTGTTGCGTCATCATCATGGGTGGTATTTCGCCATAATTTGGATAAGCTTATTCGGAATACGAACCCTTTCTTTCTCATATCTGTTGCTCGAGGTAGGATTCAAAACAACAGAAACCAGTTATTGCGTATTTTTCAAATGTTTTCCATCAACCTGCGAAGTTTATCGGTCTTGAGTTTGGCGGATTTGGGGGTTTAAAGCAGTAGATGTTTAAATTAATTTTTTCCCTTCCTTTTCATTTTATATTTTGTGTGAGAGATTGGGTGCGTGTATGTGTAGCCTTGGCTGGGATAGAGTGCTGCACAGCTGCTATATTGATAGTACCGGCCCGGTTACAGGGGAAAAAATATAAAGTTATTTTTGAGTGAACAATTTTATTTTTTATTAAAATTGACTCAAATGCAGTTTTCTATTTAAACTTTTGCATTTGTTTAAAAAAAACCTTGATCCCTGTTTATAATGCCCCTGTCGGCCGACCCTGCCTTCCCCTCTATACTCTCTAGATAACGACTCTAGTCGGCCGCTCCAACATTCCAGATGAGTGGAGCAATCGACTAGATCTTACAAAGAGGCACACCGACCCGGTCCGCCGGCCTTGGCTAATCGGCCCACTCACTCTCTCCCTAGACCTCGGCTTGTTGGCGCGGCCCGAGCCGGCAACAGTAATGCCGTAGGGGGAGACGATATTTTTCAAGCTTCACAGAGCCGACTAAATTTATGCACGGAAATAACGAAATGTTCGTGTTAGAAATATCGAAATGTTCGTTCTCATACCCCCTCCTCCTGTTTCAAACATTCGTTCGGAATAATCCGGACTGAAATTTCAAATCTTGATTTTTCTAAGAAACCGGTATTTCAGGCATTAGTTCGATTCCAAGGCAACTGAAGCTTGCAATATATGCATTTATTTCTCACAAATATATATCCGGGAATTAGTTGTCGTCTTTGTACGTGGATAATTATTAGGGGGGGGGGGTGAAATTTACATACTTTGCAATATGAAATAAACATTTTTTAAAATTAAGATATACTTTCTGAACATTTTTACTTAAAAAATATATATATATATGTATGTTGAGGGTAGTTGCTGTATTACGCTTACAAGGCGGAGTTTAAACATGCATTCCTTACAAGGACGTACATACACTATACATATACTTTATATACAATATCATCATGCATAGTCTAAACAAATGCTGCTATGAACACTGAACACATGAACACAATGTGCTAAGCATATGAACACAAATTCACATAAGCAAAAATTGTACTAAACACATCAAATATACTCAACACAGAACACATAAATACACTGCATGCGCCGAACACATTGTATACTGTACAAATGAAATTGAACATTGCACTGTACACTTTAGTGTATGTTGAACACTGATCACATGAACACAAATTTACTGAAATTATAAACACAATTGCATTGAACACGTACGTATGCTGAACATACGAACACACAGTTTACTGAATGAGTGAACATACTGCTATAAGAAGATTGCATTAACAAACAATTGTTCCTTTTTTTAGCCGCACAAGATTACATAATTAAGGAACTTAAATCGCTGAACATATTAAAACACATTCTATAACACCGTCTGATGTAAATCTTAAACAATTTTTAAAACCTTAAACACATTTTAACACAACTTTTGATCTGCCTATATATATTCGAACACTTTTTGGATGATTTGAATACAGCGAATGTTCTGATAATAAACTTTCAAATACACTTCTACTCTAAAAATACAGAAAAAAACAATTGAAAAAATGAACCTAAGTTTTTTACAACAAATTTGATTTTATCAAATATTTTTAGCAATAAATTTGGTTTTCCTTATTTATGTTTTTCTAGCATATTTACGAAACATTGCATCTATATATTCAGGTGTTGAATGTTTATGTGTGTATCGATTTGAATTGTCCGACATATATTTGGTTTTCTCCGTAACATATTGCCTACCCGGGGGGTTGGTGTCTGGACAACGGTTAGCATATATTTCCGGAGTCCACGACATTTTCCTCAAAGTTTAAAATACTATTTCAGCTTTCATGTCGTGAGAGAGTTAACGGAGAAACGGAACATTTTGAAAATAAAAATATTTCTTTCGAGGCATTAATATTTAATTTTTATCTTCATTTTTATTTGTTTTAATTCAATATTTTCTTTATTATCGTTTTCATTTTTAAAATACCTAAATATTTTTAGCTGTGTGTCCCTATTTCATTATAAAAACTGCCGAGGGTCCCTACCAAATCTTGTGCGCGGCCCGATGAAATTACGACAGAAAGTAGAGAAAGAGAGAGAGAAAGGGGCGAACAAATTTTTATGATGAAAAAACTTTAGAATGTAATATTTTCAGAATTACTTCATATTTTTACTAAGATCCACAACAAATATTTAGTCATATGATGAAAAACTTATGTCTTAAAATAGTTTTTAAAAGTTTTCATATGAAAAATACAAGCAAATGAAAGTAAACAAAGTGTTTTTGTAAAAGTGTAATTTTTCTAAAGGGGCGGAATTTCGGTCCCCACCGACTGTTCTGAATTGCCCCTAGCTGGGGGAGGGCAGGCGGTCCCTGCTACACACTAAACTGAATAAAACTGAGAAAGCTGGAAACCCTGGTCACGAAACCTCGATATTATTTAAATACATTTACCGCCTTTAACACTCTGTCATTTAACCAGCAGGCATAATGCACTGCCCTAACCCAAGCAAATCTCCGAATTCTAACGCGAAAATCCGCGAATATCTTTCAAATTTTCATATTGAACCCCCTGATTCATAATGGATGAAATCTACAAAAAAAACTAAAAATATGGAATTTTTAATGTTTTTATATTTTAGGTAGTGAGGGAGAGGAAGCAAGAAATACTAATAATGCCCCCACAATCACAAATTCAAGAATTCCAGGTAACCTAATAAAAAAATAAAAAAATATAATGTTGACCAAGACTGAAAATTTTCCTTTCACGTTATATTTTCTCTCTTAGCATGCTCTCTCTCTTCTCTCTCTCATAATTTACTTTTCTTATAAATAATTTTTTCATTAAAGATACAAGAACTATGTTGGAGAATTCTCTGATAAAACCTGGAAGTAAAGAAGTCACGTCATTCAGAAACCAAATTTGATTTTGATATAAATTTAGTTTTTTCTCTGTTCAACAGTTGATTTTTTTTGCGCATTTTTGCACACTTTTCATGCATTTTTCTCAATTTTAAAGTTTAAGATCATTTTATATGAATTCTTCTCAAAATTAATAATTAAATAAGTTTTAATCAATTATTGATAAATACTACTTATGTTTTTAAATTAGATTTAGAAAACTCATGTTCTTCCTTAAAATATTTTTATTTTATTTTGCTTGTTTAGATGACCGTTGGTCTGAAGAGAAAGATGGAGGTAGGTGAACAGGTTCCCTGCACTGCTCCTAAGAAACGACCTGAACCTGTTGAGGTTAAACTAGATGAAGAATCAGCTCAATCCATTCAGTTTTCCCCACCCAGGACCAATGATTTCCCCTTGGATACAGTATCCCCTGTATCCCCCCTACGAGAGGAGGATATCCACCAGGTTCCTACCGCCAAGCGGAGGCTAGAGGATCCTGAGGATATCCCTACAAAGAAAATATGTAGTTTTAAGGAATTAGCGGAGGATTCCCGGCCTCCGAGCAGTCTCGAGGATCCCATCATCCATCCTCTCAACTCCATGAAGGAGGATGAGAATGAGAACAAGGAGAACCTTGTCTGCTTAAAGACCATCACGGAGAACCAGAACTTTGACTCAATCCTAGCCAAGACATTGCTTGCTGCCCGGGCTGATAAGAAAGCCGAACTAAGTCCTAAGGTGGTCGTTGAACACCAAGACCTCCCTTCTATATACGAACTTGGACAAATTCGGGAGTTTGGGCACCAGGACGACGAGAGTGACTCTGACGACGAAAGTTCTATGTTTGACACTCCACCCAAAAGTCATTTTGATCGGTTCTGGACATCCTCTGGTGTTAGCAATACAACTACCACACCCCCTCTGGTCTCCACCTACCAGTTTCTAGAGCATAGCAATCAAAGGATCGAATGTGATGAAAACGGAAAATCTTATCTTCAGCTTGGAACCATGAATCATCATCATATACCTGTAACTCCAGTACTCCAACCTAAACCAACAATACTAGCGCCAAGGCGTCCTATCCCCGCCTGCCGACCTTCTCCGCCCCACCGCCCGCCCAACCCTACTCCGCCTTGTGAACACGCCCATATGTCTCCGCCCCGGGGATGCTCCGCCTCCTGCTACCGCCAGAAAAGAAGTGATATGCTTAGTCTTAGCTTACATAAACTCCACATGGCCCGGCAAAGATCCGATTCCTCACTCCGTCGCTCTGTTCTCATTTGTAACATGCTCCGATATATTGAAGAGGAATCAAACTGTGAACAGCGTCAGCATGAAGCAGCAGCATATCATCAAGAACAGGAACAAGAGCAGACATATTGGTCTCCTGCTCAACAGTCATTCGTCCCACCCCCTACTCCAAATCCTTACAGAGAGAACTCCTTTAACTCGGAGAGCTTTGAAGCTCCTTTGAAGGATTTTAACTCGGCCTTTCGTCAGACCCAGCTTTCTAGTTCAGAGTCGGAGGGGGAGGAGGACAGAGGAATCAATTGGTCATCCGTCCTTTCTCTTACATCACAGAACGAACTTGATCCCATGAACAATAATTCTTTCAGTGAATCCGGCGGCCTGTGGCCGGCTGTTGGCCCGGACTTAACGGAAGTAGATTTAACACAGAACAGTTTTGACGATATATCCTGGAAACTGTCGCCGATTTCGGCGGACGAAGTTATGAAAGCTTTTCCCGAGGATAACATGTTCCAATGCGCGGCCTAGAAATGGATTGCTGGTTCGGTCAGCTCCGACGCCGGCCATCCTAGCTGTCGGTTTTCGTCCTGCGGACCAATACCGGCCAGATGGCCGATTCCGAGTTGTGCCGTTCCGGCAGAAAAGTCCACTTTTTCCCAAATCAAAAATGGTTTCCCGAGCTTTTAAACTTTGAACCTTTGATACTTAAAAGTCTGTGATAAGTGGATCCCCCGGGGGGGCTGGATGTGTGGTGCCCCCCCCCCCCTAGGCCGTGTATACTAAACTGTGATCTATATAACCGTACCTGCTCATTTTAAGCATAAAAGGACACTATTCGCACGATCGGTTTATCCCTTCGCACTGTGCAATCTTGAATCTTGTAGGTCTCGTCAAAATTACAAATATTATAAATATATTATAAATAATAAAAAATAAAGATTTAAAGACTATTTTTGAGTTTTGATAATATATACATCAGTTTACAATGTTTTCTGTTCATACCTTTTTAGTAAAAGTATGAATTTACATTTGGGGTAAATTATAAACTTTAGGAATGGGGTTCCACAAAGTATGAAAATTAAAAGACGACCACCGACTTGAATACTCAATATGCGCTCTTTGAAAAAAAACATTAAGAAGGCTCATTTAATATTCATATATGATTATTTATTATGTAATATGATTTTTTTATGTTTAGAAGGACTCGCTGTAAATATAGATTAAAAATGTCGACTTTTCTCATGACTCATAATTTAGTAATGGTTTGAAAGCGACAAAATAGATGAAATTCATTTGAAATACAGAAATTAGTAGAATTTTCATTACTGTACAGAGATAGACAATTCTTGGTTTGTGGCGGGCTCATTCTAAAAAAAATATTCTTGCAAAGTTTTTTATGATTATTTAATATGTAACATGATTTTTTAAAGTTCCTATGTTTAGAAGGACTAACTGTAAATATAGATAAAAAATGTCGCATTTTCATATGACTCAGCTTTATAAAAACAGAGTTTAGTCATAATTTAGTATTAGTAATGGTTTGAAAGCGACAAAATAGATGAAATTCATTTGAAATACAGAAATTAGTTGAATTTTCAATACTGTACTGAGATAGACAAATCTTGGTTAGTGGAGGGCGTTTTTTTAATTCTCTGTCAAGAAATATCTGATAGAAATAATAGTTAAATGACTTAATTTTCATTATATGTATGTTCAAAGTCTTCAAGAAAGTGGAAAGTTTCTCCTTACTTGTCGCTATTGTGAGAAACCGCAATCAAAAATGATGATCATAAATTTCATATAATAAAATATGGATTTCTCTGTCACACTTTGAATTTTTGTATGAAACGGAGTCAAGGAGTTAAGTATAAATAAAATATCCATGGCTTCGCATTAAAAAATGATTTTTTTTAAATTTTGATTTTCTCCGTTAAAGGAATATTTCAGATAGATACAGAGTGTCCCACGAAACATGACGGTTGGTGAATAGTTTTGAATGTCTTCTTCCACATACCGTATTAGATATTAGAGACTTTTTGCAGTTTATTTCTTTAAAAACATGTTTAATTCATATATATTTTACTGTGAAATCAATTTTACTTTAGTATAACAAACATATAAAAAACTATAAAATTATGGAAGAAGACATTTTAAGCTATTCACCAACTGTCATGTTTCGCGGGACACCCTGTTAAAAAAACATAAGGAAGATGAGTAGTAGATTTGCGAATTTTATAAAACTTTTTCATCCTCAACTTATTGTATAGATAAAGATGCAAAAATCGAGCACACTACTTTTTTAATTTGGGGTCTCTTTGGAGCACCCCGTACCTATTTTCTTATGGTGTTTTGATTTGAAGAACTCAAAGCTTTCAATTTATGATGAGGAGTTAGTTTTTATTTCACTGAGTTAGCATTATATTTATTTTAAACATTGAAACAATTAAATATGATAGTTTACTCTAATTTTTACATTTAAAAAAAAGCATAATTATATAGACTGTGGTCATTTCCTAAAATAAGACTCCCATCACTTTAACAGCATTCTTTTTTTAAAAATTTTTGTATGGCTAAAATTTGAAAAGCAAAATATGCATCCGTTTCAGAAAGCACAAAATTTGACAGAAATTGTTTTTAGTCTGAAAGTAAAAAAAAAAATAAAGGCAACAAATGCGCAGTGAATTTTTCATTATATCGTGATTCCACGACAGTGACAGAATGACCCCAAAAAACAGTAAAATCAAAAAAAGCCATTTAAAACTTTCATGAGTGTGTATTAAATTTGTTTTCATAAAGTATCAGTTTGATCATTAGCTTATTAAGTAAAATGGACATTTAAGAAATTTCATGAGTGTGTACAGTGAAACCCTTAATACGAATACATCGGAAGAATTTATCCAATGTCGTCTTGACAATTTTTCAATGAGTTTTATACAATATTACATAAATTTCAATAATTGCGAAAATAAATAAATATCCATGAATATGCAGGAACTAAATATCAACATTCCATTATCAGAAAGTGAAGAATACGACATTTGATGAATTCTTTCAATGTATTCGTTATTAAGGGTTTCACTGTATTAAATTTGTTTTTATAAAGTATTAACAGTTTGATCAGTAGCTTATTAAGCAAAATGGACATTTAAGAAATTGTATGTATGTGTATTAAATTTGTTTTCATAAAGTATTAACCGATTGATCAGTAGCTTATTAAGTAAAATGGACATTTAAGAAATTTCATGAGTGTGTATTATATTTGTTTTCATAAAGTATTAACCGTTTGATCAGTAGCTTATTAAGTAAAATGGATTTTTAAAATCAAAATATTATTCCAACAATCATATTCCTATTCCACAGTTTAATGTGGCCCACTGTATCTTGTAATAACGAAATAAATATTAAATAAACAAAGAACTGGTAAAAAAAATCAGGTCAGGGGAGGCACAGGGTGTGAGCCCCCGATGCGATCAAATTTAAGGTAAAATAAGTGCTTATTGCTGTGTAAGGGGGGGTTCTGCCCCCCCCCCCCCTGTTAGCCCTAAAAAACTTTCAGTAACGAGCATATAATTCTAATTAACACCTATTTCATACATGTAAATTGTACATTTTTCTAGATACATTTTTACTTGCCCTGTACGAGGTTGTGTGATTAAGTATATAAATATTGAAATTAATTTGAGAGAGAGAGAGAGGTTGCGTGAATCTATACGCAATATTTAAAAAAGGTTTTTATAAAGTTAGAACCACAAATGAATACCTTGACCAAGTAAATACATTATGTAAAGATAAAAATGTTGTTAATGAAAATGGGGGAAATATATATCAGAACCTATCCTATAAATTTAGAACCTAGATCCTAAAATCTAGAACCTATCCTATAAATCTAGAACCTAGATCCTAAAATCTAGAACCTAGATCCTAAAATCTAGAACCAAGATCCTAAATTCTAGAAAGACTAGATCCTAAAATCTAGATAACCTAGATCCTAAAATCTAGAACCAAGATCCTAAAATCTAGAAAAACTAGATCCTAAAATCTAGACCCTAGATCCTAAAATCTAGAACCTAGATCCTAAAATCTAGAAAACCCAGATCCTAAAATCTAGAACCTAGATCCAAAAATCTAGAAAACTGGGTAACTCACCATTAACTGGATAGTAATTAGTAATACTGTGAAATACTGGGTAACTCACCATTAGCTGGATATTAATTAGTAATACTGTGAAATACTGGTTAACTCACCATTAACTGGATAGTAATTAGTAATACTGTGAAATACTGGGTAAGTCACCATTAGCTGGATAGTTATTAGTAATACTGTGAAATACTGGGTAACTCACCATTAACTGGATAGTAATTAGTAATACTGTGAAATACTGGATAACTCACCATTAACTGGATAGTAATTAGTAATACAGTGAAATACTGGGTAAGTCACCATTAACTGGATAGTAATTAGTAATACTGTGACATACTGGTTAACTCACCATTAACTGGATAGTAATTAGTAATACTGTGAAATAATGGATGTTATATATCTAGATTTGTCTCTCTTATAACATTTAATTTTTTCTAATCTTTCTAAAAATATACTTCCATGCGATGTCATTTACCAATTATATATTGAGTAATTCAGGGACTGATTACGTTATTATTTAAGATCCTTGAATACAAAATGCTATCAAGGCAAGGAGCGGTTTATGAAATTTTCTAAAGAATGAAGAAATAAATCAAAAATTGCATTTTATCCCACCCTGGATACAAATTCCTCTTTTGGAATTATTACAGACCCCCCCGTGATTTTGCAGCTCTTAGAGTTAAGAGAGGGGTGTGCAAAGAAACATGTCCCTAGTCCAACTTTTCAAGGCCAGCTCATCAAAGAAGTACAGTGTTTATTTTTACTTTTGACAAATATTAAAGGCCTTCCAAATAAAAGGTTTTATGGTCTGCAGTAATTGATTAAAAGGTCATTGATGATGTTTGATTTTTTGAAACACGGACCAGCCGTTTGATCGTTCGTCAGTCTTCACCCTTACCCTATGCAAACAAAAAAATTGTTCACAAATATGAAGTTAACAAGCGAAGAAATTTGAGCGTTCTAATGTAAGCCATTTTTAAGTTATTAGGCTTTTAGGGCGCTTCGCCCCCATCTTCTATTTAAATTGTGAACATGTTTTTTTTGTTTACATTATAAAACAAAGAAGAAACAAATTTTGCGGATTTAAAAAAAAATTCGCGGATTTTCAAGAATTTAAATTTTTTTACAAATTAAAAACCTTTAAAACACATTTTTTAAAATTTGTTATCATTCATAAACCTTCCCGACGGTCTCGTGATGTCCCACAAAAAATTTGGGCCCGATCGGTTCAGCCGTTTTGAAGTTTATTGGATACAAACAAACAAACAAACAAACAAACAAACAGACAGACAAGCCAAATTTTTAACCTAATCTCTGTTAACTTTTATCATCTCTACCTCTCTGCCTCTGGCTCTTAGCTCTATATAATCTTTTATCCTCTCTATCTTTGATTCTGAGCTCTCCGTAATATTCTATATACTCTATCTCTGACTCTGAGCTCTCTATAATCTTTTATCCTCTCTATCTCTGATTCTGAGCCCTCCGTAATATTCTATATAATCAATCTCTGACTCTGAGCTCTCTGTAATCTTTATACTCTATACCTCTGATTCTGAGCTCTCCGTAATATTTTATAATCTCTATCTCTGACTCTGAGCTCTATGTAATTTTTTATCCTCTTTACCTCTGGCTCTGAGCTCTCTGTTATCTTTATCCTCTCTGCCTGATTCTGAGCTCTCCGTTATATTCTATAATCTATATCTCTTACTCTTAGCTCTCTGTGAGCTTTATCCTCTCTTTCTCTGACTCTGAGCTCTCTGTAATCTTTATCCTCTCTACCCCTGGCTCTGAGCTCTCTGTAACCTTTTATCCGCTGTGCCTCTGACTCTGAGCTCTTTGTAATCTTTACCCTCTCTGCCTCTGACTCTGAGCTCTCTGTAATATTTATCCTCTCTGCATCTGACTCTGAGCTCTTTATAATCTTTATCCCTCAACCTCTGGCTCTGGGCTCTCTGTAATCTTTTATCCTCCAACCTCTGGCTCTGAGCTCTATGTAATCTTTTATCCTCTCTATCTCTGGCTCTGAGCTCTCTGTAATCTTTTATCCTCTCTATCTCTGGCTCTGAGCTCTCTGTAATCCTCTCTATCTCTGACTCTCTGAGTTATCGATCTCTCCGTTTTCCTCGGAATTTTCTTAAGAATGGTCTTTTAGAAATCATTTGTAAACATTCATTCACATTCAATATCTATCATCTCATACATCCTCTACTATTCATCCTACCCATACCATTCATCCTACTCATACCATTCATCCTCTACTATTCATTCTACCCACACCATTCATCCTCTTCTATTCATCCTACTCATACCAGTCATCCTCTACCATACCATTCATCCTCTTTTATCCATCCTAACCATACCATGCATTCTGTATTATTCATACTACTCATACCATTCATCCTCTACTATTCATTCTACCTTTACCATTAATCCTATTATGTAAATTTAACTTTAATTCTTCCCTTTTCCTAAATAGTTATATAAATTTTGCCTTTTTTTATTTGTCAGTTTTTTTTTATCAAATAAGCACGAATAAACAGATCCTGCATTTTCAAGTAGGTTTAGTGGTAGTGGAAGGTTTATAGCTGGTCAACATTTAAACTAGAAATAGACAGAGAAAAGTTTTCATACAAATTCTTTTTTGAAAATCTACCGACGAAAACAGATAAATAAAAATAAATGTTGTTATATTGTTACTATTAATGTTGTTGTTGTTGTTGTCGTTATAGTTGTTGTTGTTGTTGTTGTTGTTGTCGTTATAGTTGTTGTTGTTGTTGTTGTTGTTGTCGTTATAGTTGTTGTTGTTGTCCTAGTCGTTGTTCCTGATTGTTCTTGTTTATGCACATATTAAGTTCTAGTTCTTGTTCTTTTCCTTCATTATTATTATTATTATTATTAAATTATACTCATTATTATTTTAAGTTGTATATTATCAATCGAAGACATTTCTTTTAACTTTGAATGATTTTATATCAACTGTATGAAGACAGCTTGGTTTTGCAGCTGTCCTACCTAGAGACCAGAAACAGTTGGCGTTTTTACGCAACCACTTTAAGGACGAAAAACAGCTGTCGTGACCAGTCCTAAACTCGATATGAAATATTGATCATAGAATCAAAACTGCAAATTAAGTTGTAGGCGATACAATAACGATAGATTTAAATATATTAATCTTAGCGTATTTTTTGCAATTATGTATTTCGCGGATTTTATATTTAATGTAGGTCGTGTTTTACGGATGAACAGCTGTGCTAGGACCGGGGGAGGTGAGGTAGCGCTCTGGAGCGGCCAGACCGGTCTGGAACAGGAAAAGAGGGAGAAGGGGGGGGGGAAGGGAGCAAGTGGTCGAAATGAATAAAAGAAGGAAGGGAGGGGGGGGAGTAACTGGTCGAGGCAGGTAGTAAACAGACAGGTAGCTGTAGACTGTTCTAGCAGCTGGTAAATACGGCCAGTCCATCCTGAAACCGTGAACTTAGCAAGTATTCTGCTTCTGCACATCTCCTAAATCTACAGTTAAATAGTGCAGTTTTCAATTACAACTAAAATTAATGAATTAAAATGTTAAAAATTAGAGCAGACCACGAACTTATTGCCCCCTCCTCACTTTTAACCACAGGTAAACTATTCTGAGAGATCCACAGAGGGTTTCATTTAACATGAGCTAAATTCGGCGCAGGGGCGTACGAAGGCTTCTGTTTAACACAAGTAATTGCACTTATTTTGCACAAGTAATTATTATTCTAATTTTATATTGTTTGAGGTAAAGTTGAAATTATGTTTTTTTCGCAACTTACTGCCAGGCGTGGCCCTGTAGGTTACTCATACCTAAACTAGTTTTAATACCCTGTAATTCACACAGGGTACCCAAATAGTTGCCGATTTGCTCAATGCGAAATCGGACTTTTTTTCAGTTCACGGCATAGTTGAGCTCTGTATATGAGGTGGTAACTATGCTACCACGATTTAATCATAATAGTTTTGTTACTTTTAGATGCTCCAGTTAAGTTCAATTGAAAATAAATGACTTACTTTCTGATAAATATTCAATGGTTATTTTGAACTTAAGAAATGTGGAGAAATTATTGAATTTACATATAATCATTCCGTTGAGCGGATAAACCATTTTAACAACGACTCTTGTGAGACCCCTAGCGGTTAAAAAATGAACTGCACAAAATCATCCACGGCAGGGCGGATCTTGTGGGGGGTCAAACTGTGTTTGGGACGGTGGGGGGGGAAAGCTATACTACAACTTTATTTAGATTAAAGCTATACTACAACTTTATTTAGATTAAAGCTATACTACAACTTTATTTAGATTAAAGCTATACTAAAACTTTATTTAGATTAAAGCTATACCACAACTTTATTTAGATTAAAAGCTATAATACAACTTTATTTAGATTAAAGCTATACTACAACTTTATTTAGATTAAAGCTATACTACAACTTTATTTAGATTAAAGCTATACTACAACTTTATTTAGATTAAAGCTATACTACAGCTATATTTAGATTTAAGCTATACTACCACTTTATTTAGATTAAAGCTATACTACCACTTTATTTAGATAAAAGCTATACTACAACTTTATTTAGAATTAAAGCTATACTACAACTATATTTAGATTAAATTTATAATACAACTTCGTTGCTGTTTTGTTGTTAAATTGTTGATTTCATTAAATTGCCTCTTTTTAATTGCTCACCTTGGTAATATAAATTTTTCAATTTTCTTAGATGTGTTTTTTATTTTTGTCACCTAAATTTGAGGGACTGCCAACTCAAATACAGGGTGTCCCAGGAAATATGACAGTTGGTGATTGATTTTAAATGTCTTCTTCCATGATTTGTTAATTTCTTTGATGCCAAAGAAAATTATAATAGATATCACATGGTCGTCATATTGTAGTAAAATTGATAAGAAAATAAAATATATTTGAGTAAAAGTTTTGTTTAACGAAATAAAGTGCAAGAAGTCTTTAATATCTTATACTGTATATGGAAGAAGACATTTAAAACTATAATTCACCAATTGTCATGTTTTGTGGGACACCCTGTAAGTGATTTTCAGTCATTCTCCATGTCCGATTTACAACGGAACCCTATACAATTCTACCTGTTCAAAGATGATGAAAATTTCGACGTTTTTCTTGATTTAGGAAAAATTCTTACAATTTTTCTCATTGTCGCTGCAGTATTATTCCGCAGGTCACTTTTTAAAAAGAAACCACAGATTTGAAAAAAATAAATAAATCTTATTATCATCGTTAAACAAAAGGTGTTGAAACGTTTTGTAACATTTTTTATGTTCAAGCATTATTCGAAAATATCATCATGCGTTCTTAGTCAGACTTATTTTGCACAAGTTATTGCACTTATTTTGCACAAGTAATTGCACTTATTTTGCACAAGTAATTGCACTTATTTTGCACAAGTAATTGCACATATTTTGCACAAGTAATTGCACATATTTTGCAGAGTTATTCTTTTTAGAGGGAGAAAGCTTTGTCAATAAAGTTTTGGTTGAAACTTAATCGTTTTCTATAATTTTTTATTTGGTTATTTTTCATTTTCGTATTTTTTAAAGAGAAGGCAGGGCCCGGCTTATTTTTAGCTTTACTTCTGCAGAAGTAATAGGCAAAATTTTATAGATTTTTACGGTAGAGTTTGCATCTTTTGGATTGCTGTATGTTAGTAGTGTAATAAATGATGTATTTAGAGTTGGCAGGNTCGGGGTTGGTTCTCATGATGAAGGGGGCGGCCGCCTTAATTCCTGTATTAAGATTTGTTTTTTTAGATGATGGAATTACTGAAGTTGACCTACCCAGCCATCTATCAGGGCAACAGGTACATAACAGCTTTTATTTTAAAAGTTAAAAATAATAAATTCTGTACAGTCGTCTCTAAGAAAATTGTCTGTGGTGGTTGATTAGACACATGTACAGAAATAAATAAGTTTTTGCCTTGGGTCTTGTAAGATCTATAGATAAACAGTCCTTGAATAAGTCTCTAGTAAAGTCAAACATGATTTACGCGAATCCGCGGCTGAAAATGCGTGGAGAATTCCACTGTTAAAAGATTTACTATTAATCCGGTCAAATCAAAATGTTTTAGAAGGATTTAACTTTGATGAAATAGATGTAATTATTGATGATATTTGTAAAAACTAACTAAGTTTTTATTTTTATTTTATTTTTTTCGACTATATATTAATTCTATATTTTATATGTTATATATCTCATTTCTAGTTGATTTTAAATTGTACCATTATAAATGTGTACGAATAAATAGAATTAAAAAAATTTGGGTCTGATAGGTCCCTGGTCCAGCTGTTTCGACGTTTCTTGGATACATACCAACAGACAATCCAAATACAGGGTTAGCCACAAAGGATCCGACTGTGAAGACGACATTTAGACGAGAACCTAAGGTTAAATCTTAAGTCTTATGCCTTGAAGTTAGTTTTTATCAGTTCATTGAATGATTTGGCAAAGCTAGAAGTTTACAGTTGCAGGGAATATAATGAAAATAAGGAAACAGACAGTAAAAATAGGTACAGTCGTCTCTGAAGTCTCATCTTTGTGGGTAACCCTGTAGATAGTAGTTAAATATTAGTTATTATTTAAAATTTTTATAATAATCCTTACTGTACTCAAGGAAGAAGATGGAGATAGAGAAGATTTGGAAGGATCATGCGGAGAAGGAAATAATAATGTTCACGGAAAATTACACTTTAGGAATGAATTCACTAACTAAAACGACATTTGAACGAAATCTACGACGACATTTTATGACTAATGCTCAAAGACGACATTTAGTTTCGTCACCTGATAATGGATTCAATATTGATTAGAACGAATGATAGAAGTATTCTGTTTAGCTCAAGATTGGATGAGTTTACAAATAAGATCACATGCTTGTAAGTATATATAACTAGGCTTTTAGGGCGCTTCGCGCCCATATTCTATTTAAATTGTGAACATGTTCTTTTTGTTTACATTTTAAAACAAAGAAGAAAAAAATTTTGCGGATTTTTAAAAAAAATTCGCGGATTTTCAAGAATTTAAATTTTTTTACAAAATTAAAAACCTTTAAAACACATTTTTTAAAATTTTTTTATCATTCATAAACCTTTCCTGTGGTCACGTGATGTCCCACAAAAAATTTGGGCCCGATCGGTCCAGCCGTTTTGACGTTTATTGGATACAAACAAACAGACAGACAAGCCAAATTTATATATAGACTAGAAATTCAAGGCGCTTCGCGACCTTCTTTCTAGGCTTTTAGGGCGCTTCGGGCCCATCTTCTATTTAAATTGTGAACATGTTCTTTTTGTTTACATTTAAAAACAAATTAGAAAAAAATTCACGGATTTTCAAGAATTAAAATTTTTTTTACAAAATTAAAAACCTTTAAAACAAATTTTTTAAAATTTTTTTATCATTCATAAACCTTTCCTGTGGTCACGTGATGTCCCACAAAAAATTTGGCCCTATCGGTTCAGCCGTTTTGACGTTTATTGGATACAAACAGACAAACAGACAAGTCAAATTTATATATTGATTAAAAGTAGTGATGTCTGTTTGTCTGTCTGTTTGTTGGTTTGTATGTCAAATTAAAGTTTAGGAACTTCTGCACTATTCTTAGTTGAGTGGGTTGACTTTAGTTTCCAGGCAAAGCTGTGTTCCCAAACTACAGAGCGTCTCATACAAGATACTTTAAAAAACCTGGTATTTTCTGCAAGAAAATTTACATATTAACCTTTTACCTTTGATTAAATATGATTCATTCTTTCTTCAATTTCTGATTAGTCCCTTAAATTTCAATTTAGAGGCTTTAAACGATCTAATATGATGAGAGACACCCTGTATATAGAGTAGTGATATCTGTGTTTTTGTCCGTCTGATTGTTAGTTGTTAGGTCCGTTAATAACTCAGGAACCCGTTGACCGATTTGCCTCAAACTTTAATTGATAGCTTGCTATAAACTCGGGAATGTTCTATGTTGAGTAGGTTGACTTTAACAGAGTTTAGTTTCCGGGCAAAGCTGTGTTCCCAAACCATTACTTTATAAAGTTAAATATCTTTTTGTGCTTGTGCTATTAAATAAGACATTTTTAAACTCAATCTGTAATTATTAAAGTGGCATTTAATTAAATATCAAAACCATTAAGGATCAAAAACGAAATCACATTTTCAACTTTATCAAATTATCTTAAGAAACTGTTTTTCGTAGAAATATTTACAATATCTAGAGCAAAATTCGTGGATTTCTTAAACAAAGATAAAAATAAAATGTCAAAGATTACAGAGTTGTTGAACTGTAAATAGAACTCTTTAACTAATTGCCCCGAGCTGGGACTTTTGAATGGTGGATATCAGGGTTAATGCTTGATCCACTCTTTTTCTTAATCTCAAGATTAAATAATGCTTGTTCTCCTCTTGTTATTAATCTCAAGATTAATTTACTGATCGGGATTAAGGATATCCCAATTTAAAGTTTTCAGCTCAGATGAAATTGTTTGAGCAATTCTTTTTGAAAGGACTGTAGATATATTTTCATAGGATAAGCACGGTCGATTCACTAGGGTACCCTTAAAACCTTTGTCTGATCTAGTTTGAATTATATATCCATGTTTTTTCTTTTAACAAACTGATCATTTTCAAATGTGGTTTCTATATAATAGTAATTTGCACATTTCTTGAGAAACAATGAAGAAATTATCAGAATTGAATAACGACGTTATCTTCCACATTATTTGATCAGATTAAGGCATTAAAGGCACTTCCGTGAATTTGGCATGCCTCTATTTAATCAGAAATTTCAACGACAGTCCTTCTTAAAGCCTAATTCTTACTATTTTCAGAGCTTGTCAGCAGAATTGTAATTCTTAGTGTTTTCAGAGCTTGTCAGCAGAATTGTAATTCTGACTATTTTCAGAGCTTGCCAGCAGAATTTTAATTCTTACTTTTTTCAGAGTTTGTCAGCAGAGTTTTAATTCTTACTATTTTCAGAGCTTGTCAGCAGAATTGTAATTTTTACTTTTTTCAGAGCTTGTTAGGAGAATTGTAATTCTTACTATTTTCAGAGCTTGTCAGCAGAGTCTTAATTCTTATTTTTTTTCAGAGCTGTCAGCAGAACAGAATTGTAATTTTTACTATTTTCAGAGCATGTTAGCAGAATTGTAATTCTGACTACTTTTAGAGCTTGTCAGCAGAATTGTAATTCTTAATATTATTAGAGCTTGTCAGCAGAATTGTAATTCTTATTATTGTTAGAGCGTGTCAGTAGAATTGTAATTCTGAAGATTTTCAGAGATTGTCAGCAGAAATGTAATTCTGACCATTTTCAGAGCTTGTCAGCAGAATTGTAATTCTTACTGTTTTCAGAGCTTGTCAGCAGAATTGTAATTCTTACTATTTCAAAGCTTGTCAGCAGACTTGTATTTCTTACTATTTCAGAGCTTGTCAGCAGAATTGTAAGAGCTTTCCAATCTGGAGATTGCATTGTTTGCAGCACCAGGACTTACCAGGCATTTATTTTATTTTAAATACAGGGTTATTCGTTAAAGTAAGTTTTTGTTGTCCGATCCTTTAGTTTGGTGTAAAACCATGTCGAATATTCGAAAATCTCACCGTTAACTTCAGCTAAGAAATAAAAAAATCATATATATAAATCTGACTCTGAACCCACTTAGGACCCTGTATAATTTTAAACATATTAATTCCAGAATTCGAAAAATAACATTTATTTTAAATGAATTAAATAATTCTTAAGAATTTAATTTATGTCTAGGATTAACCCCTACCCTTGTATCTCTGTATCCTCCAGGTAAATTGATAAAAATACAATGAGTAATACCTGCACAGTGTTTCACATCTTGAGGTTTAAAAATTAGTTTAAAAAATTCATTGTCAAGTGTCAAAAATATTTTATTATTTTTTTATCAGAAAATGATTCCCGTCCTTTTCCTCAAAAGCGATTTCAGTGTGAAAGGTGAGTGTAAATGCAAAACAAGTTTTTATGTAAAAATAAACTCAGATCTAGGTTTCTTGAAAATTGAAAAATAAAATAAAACATTTTTCATGGCCTTACGTCTTAACAACGTTAACGCTTTATGAATAAGAAAGCTGTTAAGATTTGCAACCTTTTTTAATGCCGTATAAGTCTGTAACCATTGACTTCTAAGCTAGCTATTTTCAAATAAGTTTACAGTGAACAAAAAGAAGCTGTTAATAGACAGCTTCTCTTTTTTATTTCTATATTTGTGTGCGTTCATGTTGTTTGAAATACTTGGTAAAAAATCAAACTTAAAGTCGAAAGTCGATTTCATTGTATTAATATATGCAACGATGACTGTTTATGAATTTAAGTTTTGAATACAAACAAACCTATTTTAAAAATTAATTTTTTAGATGCAAACGGAAATTTGCCACAGCTCAGGAGAGAAATGAGCACAACAATAACACTGTTAGAATTGTCAGGTATAATTACTATTTGAAAAATAATTCCGTCTCAATCTTTTCAAAAATAATTAGTAATTGCTCCAATTTATTTAAAAGAAATCACCCCTCCGGCGTTCATATGTTCAAAAATAATTAACCCATCGATCTATTCAAAAATAATTAACCCCCTTTAATCTCCATCAATTCAAAAATAATTAACCCCTTTAATCTCCATTTATTCAAAAATAATTAACCCCCTCTAATCTCCATCTATTCAAAAATAATTAACCCCCTTTAAACTCCATCTATTCAAAAATAATTAACCTACTTTAATCTCCATCTATTCAAAAATAATTTACCCCCTCTAATCTTCATCTATTCAAAAATAATTAACCCCTCTAATCTCCATCTATTCAAAAATAATTAACCCCCTCTAATATCCATCTATTCAAAAATAATTAACCCCCTTTAAACTCCATCTATTCAAAAATAATTAACCTACTTTAATCTCCATCTATTCAAAAATAATTAACCCAATTCTCCCCAATCGAAATCTATTAAAAATATAATTTACCCCCTCTAATCTTCATCTATTCAAAAATAATGAACCCCCTCTAATCTCCAGCTATTCAAAAATAATTAACCCCCTCTAATCTTCATCTATTCAAAATTAATTTAACCTCTCTAATCTCCATCTATTCAAAAATAATTTACCCCCTCTAATCTCCATCTATTTAAAAATAATTAACCCAATTCTCCCCAAACGAAATTTATTAAAAAAAAACACCCTCTCTATTTTTTCAAAAGTTTTGATTGATATATCAGCAAATGTTAAAAAATGTGTCTAATATATTTTTGAATATTATCAAAGACGACAGTAAATTTCGAAAAAATAGCTTTTTAGATTTTTTTAAATTTTGGGCCAAAAATCATTTATTTTAAATATTCAAATTAAAGACTACAAAAAGACAGTAATAACAAATAGCAGTTTTATGTTATTTTTTACAATTTGAACATTTTAGAAAATGATATAATTGGAAGACGACATTTTGAATTCTCTCTAAAATTTTAGGTTAGTTTGTCCGCAGTGTAATGGGCAGTACAGTGACTTAGAACAACATATACAGGTATCTAGTCATCTATTTATCTATCTACCTATATCATTCTATCTATCTATCTATATATACAGGTACCTAGTCATCTATTTATCTATCTACCTATATCAGTCTGTCTATCTATCTATCTATCTATACAGGTACCAAGTCATCTATTTATCTATCTACCCATATCAGTCTATCTATCTATCTAGATATACAGGTACCAAGTCATCTATTTATCTATCTACCTATATCAGTCTATCTATCTATCTATATATACAGGTACCAAGTCATCTATTTATCTATCTACCTATATCAGTCTATCTATCTATATCAATCTGTCTATATATATAAACAATACACATTTTTATCTATTTACTTATCTATACCATCATTTTAATTATACATATCCCATAGACACCAGTCTGTAAACTCATCAGATGCTTGTATAGTAATATTATTTAGGAATCCCACCAAGGATGTGTAGAGTGTGGAAAATGTGGATTAGAAACTATACAACTTGTTGGTAAACATCATTGGCATATATTTTGTATTGTTAACATTTTGATTTAAATTAATTTTTTAAATATATTCGAATTCTGATAACACTTTGTGACTCAACAGCACAAGAAATTTATTTTCATCTTTCCGTTTAAAATTCAATTGATAGTTCATTTGAAAAGTTTTATAATATTTTTTGTTGCAGCTCACTGCCATTCATTACATCAAGGCTTCAGCAGTGTTTTAGCAGAGGTGAATAATCTTATAGATTTTTTCACTTTTTCCGTTAAAAATCCGGAAATAATGTTGTCACTTTTTCCGTTAAAAATCCGCAAATAATGTTGTCACTTTTTCCGTTAAAAATCTGCAAATAATGTTGTCACTTTTTCCTTTAAAAATCCGCAAAAAATGTTGTCACTTTTTCCGTTAAAAATCCGCAAATAATGTTGTCACTTTAAGCCACGAAAATTATATCAATGAAAACATTTTACTCTCAATACATTCTTTTGCAATCTGAAGTAAGGGTTTTACGGGTTTTATTTTGGGGCAGGTGTTAATACAATGTGAACCGGAAAGCTGTGGAATAGGAAGACGACATTAAAGCTATTAATGTTGTTACAAAGCAAATAGTTCACACTGCACAATTTGCCGTGTTTTATTTTTATTGGATTATTTCAAGTCATAACCTTAATATTAAAGTTTTCTTCCTATTCCAGGTGTTTCTAGTTCTCACTGTAGCATCATAGCATCCTATTTCTTTTTGTGTCCAAAAGTTAAACATATTTTTTTCTTATTCTCCATCTTTTTTTTTTTTTTAGAGTACTACAACTTGTTTTGGAGATGGAATAAGTGCCGAGTGGAAGGAAGTGGTTTTAGAGACACCGGCATTTTTTCTTGCCTCAGAGGTACTTGAAAAAACAAGTTATTTTATATACCCTAGAGGACGCTGCACTTCCTACCGCCGGTTCAAATCTTCAAATCCTCATGAATCTTCAAATCTGATTCACATTTGATCAGAAAAAGCTTTCAAGGGTACCGTTGTAAATCGGATATTGCCAACTTTGTTTGGTAAAGTTCACTTGAAATTAAGCATACAATCCCTTTAAATTGCTAATGTTAGCCGACAAAAAATGTATTTTTCATCAAAATACAAACGAAAACGTTAGACATGTTAAGGTAAAACCAGATGACTCTGAACCTGCTGAAAGTCCTCTACCCAAATCTCAAGTAAATCCGCATGATTCTATCCAGCTAAAATCCGCGAACCAACCTTTGATCAAAAAAGAAAATAAACTTGAGAATATCGTCTTCAATCATCAAGACGAGACGACATCCTCTCTAAAATTTATTCCACGGTATTCTGATGACAGCCCAGGTAATTACAAAGCAAATAAACAATATTTGATTTGAAAAAAATATGAAAAAGAAAAACGTCTTAATTATTGATTTAGCCTTTTTACAAAGTACTAACAGATTTTTCCTTTAAATTTCCGCATATTCAAAATTTTCTTCGCAGCTGTCTTATACACGAAAATTTTAATTAAAAGTTAACTAACGGAAATATTACGAATTAAGAAAAGAGATTTAAAAATTAACATTACATTCAAATATTTACCGATCGTCTTTACGTGGTTAGATACCGTCGTCGTCGAATATATCAATACAATGATTTGATTTCAACTTTGAATAATATCAAACTTTTGAACAGCATGGATAGTGGATACATATAAACTGGAAAACAAAGAGAAGCTGTCCATTCAAAAACTTAAAAAAAATTTCTTGTTAAAAATGTGCAGAAATTATTCTATTCACGAAACCCAAAACTTTTACTTTGTGTTCCGAATCTTTGGATCAAGCGTCTATTTTGAGCGCTCATCTACGGATTAATTTTACAAAAAAATTTCACAAATAAAAAATTATTTCAGTGTTAGAAATGTCAATAGAACAACGAGAGCAGAAGAATATCGAGGAATATGAAAGGTAATTTTTAAGAGTTAAAATTTTTAATAAATCTTATTATTTTGTATCTCGAATTTTTATTTAGCTCATTATTATTTTAACACTGTTTTCTACATATTTATTGATTTATTTATTCAAAAGAAAGGAAAACAGATCTTAAGATCTCGATAAAATCTTAGTGAAAGTGACACCCACCCCCCCCCCCTCACATTTCTAAGTAACTATCTTTCTCAACCTGACCTGAAATAATCATGTGAGATTTTTCAAGAAATCATATTTATTTTTTTATAAATTCATTTATTTTGATCTTTTCCCCCATCTCAGAATGGAATCGGAACACCAAAAATCCTATGATTTGAAACCTCATTTGACTTATTTTAATTGATTCCATATTTTGACCTCCCGCGTAATTGAAGGAGGTCACGACCTCTATGATCATCTGAGGTTAAAAAGGTGTCTCAGAATGGAATCGGAACACCAAAAAACATATGATTTAAAACCTCACCTGACGTATTTTCATTGATTTCATATTTTGACCTCTGGAGGTCATTTATATCTGGAGATCAAGACCTCCATGATCATCTGAGGTTAAAAAGGAGTCTCAGAATAGAATTGGAACACCCAAAAACCTGTGATTTGATACCTCACATGAGTGACTTACTTTCATTGATTTTACATTTTGACCTCTGGAGGTCATTGATATTTGGAGGTTACGACCTCCTGAATCATCTGAGGTTAAACAGGGGTCTCAGAATCGGAACACCAAAAAACCTATGATTTGATACCTCACATGACCTATTTACATTGATTTCATATTTTGACCTTTTTAGAGGTCGTTATTGAAGGGAGGTCAAAATGGAGGTCAATGACCTCCGATCTCAAATTTTCTTCGTGATCCATGTAGACGACCAAAATTACAGGTTGCATGCAAAATTTCAGCCTTCTTTCTCAATTTTTAGGTTATATGCAGCCTGTACAAAATTTGGTGTCACAAAGTGTCAAAGTGCACCCCCTCCCCCCCCCTCCTTATGATATATTTTTAGTAAAGGCTGAAAACTTGAATAAAATTCAATTAAACAAATAAAAAGTTTCTGCCGTAAAAACAGGAAATCCGAACCCATGGGATTTTATCTGTGTTTTGAGCTTAGTTCATATTTTCTCCGCTAGGTGTCTCAGATTTAAGTTTTTCAAATCAAAATTTCCTTAAATATTTGCATATTTTTGGCAAGTAATTAAAAGTTTCTTTGCTATCATACATTTGCACTATATTTAGCTTAAGACATGTTTTGATGTTTACAGAAGTTGTTATATTGTTTTGAAAATACTGGGCTTATAAAACACTTAAACGCAAAATATCCAATCTTCATTACGTAATTGTTTTATAAAAGTTACAGTATTTTTAAATTTTATTTATGCAAGTTCAGATTGTTCTGAGCTGATTGTTCATCTGTTGCATATGAAAGGGGTTGATAAATGAAACAAAATTTGTTTTGTGTTACTATTGCCTTCAAAAACTAATGTTAGATTTGGAACTAATTTGCCCTGCAAACTAGGTTCCTTAATTATAAAATCTAGATGGACAAACAATTTATTAAGCTATTAAAAGTCTGTATTCAAGGCATAACATATAATTTAACCTAGGAATCGTCATATTTTAAGAGTTTACGGTCGTTTTCACTCTTTATATATCCAATCCTATGGGATTTTTTCTGTGTTATGAACTTAGTTCATATTTTCTCCGCTAGGTGTCTCAGACTTAAGTTTTTCAAATCAAAATTTCCTGAAATATTTGCATATTTTTGACAAGTAATTAAAAGTTTCTTTGCTATCATACATTTGCACTATATTGAGCTTAAGACATGTTTTAATGTTAAAAAATTTGTGATATTGTCTTGAAAATACTGGACTTTTAAAACATATATCCGTAAAATATCCATTTGTTATCACCTATCTTTCGTAGTCATTAACTCTATCTATCTGTTTTTGCGAGTTTGGATTAGTTTCTGAGCTGATTAGAAGTATAATTTAAGCTGTAAATACTAGACCTAGGATTAATATCCTGAAAAATTCCCCCCGTCCCTCTCATGATTCTTGTTTTAATAAATTGTCGACTGAAAAATGAAAAAAATGTTTTTCGTGTTATTGTTTCCTTCAAAAACTAATAATATTTAGACCCCCCCCCCTCCCCCCCGACCCCAGCTAGTATTCCAATATAACTGGGGAACCACCTCAACCTAGATTATATAACTAAGGAATCAGCTCAGAACAGGTCTGAACTTACAAAAAGATAATTTTACTTGAATTAGCCTAAATAGTGATTACAGAATGGATATTTTGCGTTTATATGTTTTATAAGCCCAGTATTTTCAAAACAATATAACAACTTCTGTAAACATCAAAACATGTCTTAAACTAAATATAGTGCAAATGTATGATAGCAAAGAAACTTTTAATTACTTGTCAAAAATATGCAAATATTTCAGGAAATTTTGATTTGAAAAACTTAAGTCTGAGACACCTAGCGGAGAAAATATGAACTAAGTTCATAACACAGAATAAATCCCATAGGATCGGATATATAAAGAGTGAAGACGACCGTAAACTCTTAAAATATGACGATTCCCAGGTTAAATTATATTTTATGCCTGTAATACAGTTTTTTAATAGCTTAATAAACTGTTTGACAAAAGTAGAAACAAGTAGAAAATAAGGAAAAGGACAGGAGCAATTCTTTACAGTCGTCTCCAAAGGTTACCCTGAATATTAAGTGATAAAGGCCCTCAATGAACTTGACAAAATTCTAAAATAAATCATATATTTCTTGAAAATGAGTAAAATATTTAGGTATAAAGAAGATGCAAAGTCAAAGATAGGAATCAAGAATGAATGTGAAATCTGTGGATTTATCCCCTACACTAAGAATAAATACAGAGAAAAACAGGATCATCTGGCTAAGGTAAAAAACTTAAAAAATTGGATTATTAAAGAAAAAAGGAGAGAATCTAAACTTAAATCAAAGTTTTTTTTTTGTAAAATCAGATTCAAATTTTAATTGAAACCTCATAATACCCTTGTTTTTTTTCCTATATTCCATAATTCTTATCATTGTACATTGTAATTCATATTATATACGGAGTGTCAATTGATGAAAATGTTTTTATGCCCTGGGTTGCCTCTTTTTAATCTATGGTGAACATATCCTGAAACCCATATATTTCCAGCTGAGCTGGGGTAAAATTTTCATTATTTTCTTATGGGTTTACAAGTAAAATATCCCCCCAGCTGAGTACACCTTTCAATATTTGCGCATTTTTTGCTATGAAGTTCCCGCATTCTTTTGAATGATCATCTTCCAGCATTAATATTTGGGATTTTCTTTAATATGTACTTTTTAAAAGTTTAAACTTTATATTAGATGTTATCCAATTAATTGACGTGTCATTTTTGTGTATTTATTTATTTTGATAGTGTTAACATTAGAATTCATACTTCTTTCTTTCCAGGGCATAAAATTATCTAAAACCCTTCTGGTTAAAGGGGTCTCGTAAAGTTCTCGACTTTTTAGTTGAGATTTTTAACTCTCGCTACGCTCTGGTTAAAAATCTCATCAAAAAAGTCTCAAACCCTCTCGAAAAAGAAAAGTTTTTTGCTCAAATACTTTATACCTCGCCTCCCTTCAACCACTAGGGTTATAAATAGTTATTTTTTCTTCCAGATGCATTTTAAAGAGAAAATAGACAGACTGCTGCCCAAAAGGAATATACATTATATATTTAACAATTTAGAATTTTTAAAATTTACAACAAACATTTGGTTTGTTCTTTTGTTTTAAAGAATATCAATTAAGATTAGAAGAATGGAACTTCAAAAATAATTGTATAAAGAAAAAATGTCATTAAAAAAAATTTATCAAAATCAAAATATTAGAGAATAAAAAGCAAAAACTTTAAAATTCTTGTCATTGCAGATAAAATCTTGTTTAAATGTATGTATTAAATTAAAGACCGTACCTGTGTCCTATTGAACAGTGTGAATATAACGGCAAGGACAGGCAAGACATTCTTAGGTAATTCAATTCACAATTGATTATTTTTTTTCTCCATATTTGAACACACTTAACTTTTGAGAGGGGGGAATTAATGACAAATTTTTAATTTTTCTTTGCCGTAATATTTCTGTAAGAAATACTAATGCCAATTATTTGCTGAATTTTTGTGTAATCTTTTCCCGAATTTTTCTGATGAAAAACTATGTCTAATCCTATATTTCTATTTTCTAAGGCACTATACTGGAAAGCATAATATATTGAAGATGTGGGTTGACGAATTTTTAAAATCTCGGAAGAATTCTACCCCATCCGCTCTTTCTCCGGGCCGCATACCCTCATTGGGCCTTCAGAAAGAGAAACTTGTAAGTTAATTTTTAAAATTATATTTTTTAAGTTTTAGTGTATTTTATTGATAATTCTAGACTTTTAAGGTGCCTCAACTAAGAATCAATTTATTACTATTGCTATACATGCAAAACATTCATTATCACTTTTTCATGATTTAAATCTTGCTAGGGCATCTTTAGAATCTTTCTATAAACCTTAGTTGTGGGCCCAGGGGCGGATACAGTGATAAGTGAGGGGGGGGGGGGCAAGATTTTTAGGAACCAAAAAATTGTTAATTAGGAACAAACATTCGCGCCGCCGGCGAAATTTTTTTTTTGACTAAGACTCAAAAAGAGTCAAAATTATTGACTAAAGACTAAAAAACTAGATTTTTAACTTTTCACACATTATAGTTTATTAAGACAGATATTTTTCCTGTTTTGCACTAGGGTTTCTTTCCCTTAAGCATGCTATTGAGAATTTATTCTGAAAATAGGAACAAAAAATTCCAAATTCAGGGGGGGCGAATGTCCCCCCGCCCCCCCCCCTGTAACCGACCTTGGTTGTGGCCATGTCAACCTTGATGTCATAGGTTTGGCCGTTTCGATTCATCTAAGCCGCTATTGCATATTTATCTCCGAGTCAGTAATATCAAATATCAAATATTTAACATACAAGTGATACCTAGGATTTATGTCAAATGTAAAAGAAAAAAAAACCTTTTTACCCTATCCCTTACTTTTGATGATTTTATCTAGACTGGGGCTGCTGGTGGACTTGATTCAAATGTTCTCACTTTCGCAGATATGGAGGCCATGGCTAGAGGTTTTACACTCAAGTTCAATAAATTAATCCAATTATTTTTTATCAACCTTCATGATTTTATGTTGAATATCACAGATATTTTTTTCAAAATCATTTTTTTAATAAAAAGTTTGTGAAAAAGTGGCAATTTTTTAAATTTTAACTTGTGTTTAAATCCAGAAAAAGAGATGGAGATGAGAGGTAAAAAAAGAACTCACAACGGCATTGAAATCTCTGAACTTAAAAAAGAAAATGGCGTTTCCACTATTTTTACAAACAAGCAAAGGTAAGAATTGGAGAAATCAAGATTAATACTGTGGTACTCATAAAACTGTGAAATGCGGATTGTAGAATGATTCAAATGTAGACTTTAAACATGTACACAACAATTGTGCACTGTGCAGTGTACACAGACCAATTTTAATTACTAATTATGCTTAAAAATACTTATTCTTATTTTAACGAGAATGTTAGCTCTAGCTGTTATGATTTTGATTTCTCTCTAATAAATATTATTTACTTACTTACTTGCTTACCATTCTTACTTACTTACTAAGTTGATTTCCAAACTACTAATTTTCTATTTACTGTAAAATATTCTGAATATAAATTAGAAATAATTATTTTGATATCATTTGTTTCAGTTCTCAAGCACATGTACCCATCAAGCCGAAATTAGAGGGATATTTAGGTAAAAACGTTAATTTCAAGAATATTTTTTTGAACCCCCTTCCCCCTTCTTTTGGTTAAGGTTTTCCTTATTAAATGTTTCCTTACTGAACATTTCCTTTCTAAACGTTTCCATACTGAACAGTTTCCTACTGAAAGGTTTCCTACTGAATGTTTCCTTTCTTAAAGTTTCCTTACTGAACATTTTCTTACTGAACGTTTCCTTACTCAACCTTTCCTTACTTAACATTTCCTTACTGAACATTTTCTTACTTAAAGTTTCCTTAATGAACATTCACTTCCTGAACATTTCCTTACTAAGCATTTCCTTACTTAAGGCTTATTTACTGAACGTTTCCTTACCAAACATTTCCTTACCGAACATTTCCTTACCGAACATTTCCTTACCAAACATTTCCTTACCGAACATTTTCTTACCAAACATTTCCTTACCAAACATTTCCTTACTGAACTTTTTCTTACTTAATGGTTTCTTTCTGAACATTTTCTTCAGAAAACATTTCCTACACAAAACGTTTACTTACAAAACGTTGCCTGCACAAAATGTTTCCTGCCACAAAACGCTATAATAAATTTTTTCTCAGGAAAATCTTTCTTAAAAAAATACAAATAGTTTTTTATTGCCCCTCCCTGTATTTTTATGGACCGCCATTAATAATTCACAAATAAATAAAATAACTTCAACACATACTTAGAAGGGGTTGCCCATGACCTTCTGAACACCCCTGTAACCGGCACAGTTACAATCTCAACTCCTTCCGGTCAAATCAGTCTCAGTAGACAATCCAGGTATTCATCTACCATCTCATCAGGTAGACAATCTAGGTATTATCTACCATTTCATCAAGTACACAATCCAGGTATTCATCTACCATCTCATCAAGTAGACAATCTAGGTATTTATCTACCATCTCATCAAGTACACAATCTAGGTATTCATCTACCATCTCATCAAGTAGACAATCTAGGTATTTATCTACCATCTCATCAAGTTTTTGATTATGATTGCAGTACTAATTGTTTTCAGATGTACACAATAATAGCATGACCTATCATTATTTTATAGAAAATTAATTAGATTTATGATTTGATTAGAAATCAAAACTTGATTAATTTAATTAATTGATTTAGATATTTTAGGAAATCAGTTGAGAAGGTTTCAGAGTCCTTCAAACTATTGACAGCTCCAGGTAACACATCGTGTTTTTTCTTGATTTAGAAACACAATGATATTCCTACAAACTATTGACATGTCTTACACAATCTTTAAAATTTGAAATAAAAATTTGATTTTTTGAGTTTTACTAGTTTACCATGGTTATTTTGGTGATTTTTTTAATTAAATCTTGGAACCAATTATACTTTTTAGTATAATATAATATATACAGCTAATTAAACTTTATATGATGATTACTTTATAGAACTGCTATAATGGAATTGATCATGAATTGGCAATGAGTGATAAAGTAGTTAAATGAAAGTATTATTAGAAGCTGGAGCTGAAGCCCCTGTTATTCCTCTCTATCTCTACAAATGTGATCAGTGTACAGGGAAGGTCGTCTTCAAATCAATAGAAGGTAATTTTAAACATTCAACATTTTCATTCGTAAATAGTTCAGTTAAAGAGTCCGATCAACCTTAAAATTCTTTAAAATATCATGATAGAAAATTGATGGCAATATCAGGATAGAAAATTGATGATAATATCATAATAGAAAATTGATGGTAATATCATGATAGAAAATTGATGAAAATATCATGATAGAAAATAGATGGTAATATCATGATAGAATATTGATGGTAATATCATGATAGAAAAGTGATGGTAATATCATGATAGAAAATTGATGGTAATATCATGATAGAAAATTGATGGTAATATCATGATAGAAAATTGATGGTAATATCATGATAGAAAATTGAGGGCAATATCATGATAGAAAATTGATGGTAATATGATAGAAAATTGATGGTAATATCATGATAGAAAATTGTTAGTTATATTATGATACAAACTCTTACGTAGGAGGTCTTTATTAGTTTTTTGAATCTACGAAAAAACAACATGAATTTTAAAAAATGCTGAAATTGAATCAAATTTCTTTAAAAAAAATGAATTATTTGAAATTATTTTTACACAAAAACTCTTCTTTAATTTTTTGTAGTTTAAAAATTTCTACTTTTAACCACAGATCGATTTTTCCTGCTTTACAGCCAGGCACTAAGAATTATATTTAATAAAGGTTTAAAGCATCACAAGATAGTTGAGCACCCCCTGGAGGATGAAGAGATTGATGTAGATCCTCTAGCAGCCTCCCCCCCGGCCTCCGTCCTCCCTCTGACCAAGGAGCATCAATGTATTGGATGCAGTATGAGGTTTATTTCTCAACAAGCACTTGATCTTCACCAGTCTATTTGCAAGTATGTATCTTCTGGAGATATAAAGTAGCAAGCTTTGTTTACATGTCTGTTTGTTTGTATTTCCGATTGTAACTCAGGAATTTCTTACCCGATTTGCTTCAACTGTTGATTGGGTATCTAGGTAGACCAACAGAAATGTTCTTAGTCATGGTTTAAAAGTTCTAAGTTGAGTAGGTTGCATTTTTAGGGAAAACTTTGTTTCAAATTTCTATATTAAAGGGAGTGTTCATGAAAACTTTAGGGGGTCTTGGATGAATCCGAATGAAATTTCGATCATTATTAATTATTCTTCTATCTGTTGTGCCTATAAAGGAGAATATTGTTGATAAGTTGCATTATACAGTGAAACCCCTAATAACGAATACATCGGAAGAATTTATCAAATGTCGTCTTGACAATTTTTCAATGAGTTTTATACTTTATTACGTAAATTTCAGTATTTGCGAAAATAAATAAATTGCCATGACTATTCGGGAACAGTTTTAAAGAGTGAACCATATAATCATTTAATTAAAAAACTGAAAATCTGCAACATTCCATTATCAGAAAGTGAAGAATACGACATTTGATGAATTCTTTCGATGTATTCGTTATTAAGGGTTTCACTGTACCAAGCACACCATGAATATTCAATTATATTTATAACTGTCTGAGCCTTTAAGTATTAAAATACATAAATTAGCAATATAAAACTATTTTGGTAAAAAAACTCCCCATCCATAAACTCTTATAATTTTCAGGAATACAGCAGCGTCAAGTTCCTTAGCTGGAGTTTCATTGGTTCTGGGAACATCATTGCTAAGCTCTGTTCCCATCACATCTCTCACCGTTCCAGGAGGATCCTCTGTTACAACTACACCCCTCACCGTTCCAGGAGGATCTTTCGTTCCCATAACACCACTAAACGTTCCAGGAGGGGAACTGCCCAAGAAGAAAGCAAGACGACCTCCTCCAAATCTTGTTCCTATCTAGTCAACTTTTTCTTAAAGATTGCAAATTAATCAGAATTTTGCTTTTAAAAACAAGTGCATTATAATTCTAAAATCACTATGTACAGGGCTAAATTTGTGAGATGATAAAAAAGTCTGTCTTAAAAAGTGATGCACCTTTTTAGCTCAATGTTTTGTAGGTACGTTAAACCCTAAATAAGCCATACATCGAAAAAATTTATCAAATCTTGACAATTTTTCAACGGGTTTTATACTATTTTACGTAAATCTCAGTATTTGCGAAATAAATAAATGGCCATGAATATGCAGGAAACGTTTTAAAGAGCTCCATATAATCATTTAATTAAAAATGTAAATATCTCCAACATTCCATTATCAGAAAGTGAAGAATACGACATTTAATGAATTCTTTCGAAGTATGGCTTATTTAGGGTCTAACTGTATAACACAACATAAGGATTGCTATTAATGTATTTCTTGTTATTTAAAGCATACTCATGAGTCATGACAGAGAAATGTGTAAAATATATATTTATAAATTTGGGATATAAAGATGCAGAGTCACCTACTATAGAATGAGCCTGCAGAGACGACAGTAAATGAATTTATTTAGTCCTTTGTCTTAAATTGCTTGCTCTTATTTTACATATGATACATTATATCTAAAAGCAAAAGAAAAAGATTAAAAGCTTTGTGGGTAACTCTGTACACTCAGTGTAAAAATCATATGATTTCTCTTAACTTAAATATTTGAAGGAAGTGTGATATGGCTTACTCTGTATTCTGTAATTAACTTCACTGTTCTTTCATGAACGCCGATTGGGTTCAAGATACAAATGCGGTACAGTACAGTACAGTACAGTACAGTACATTGGGTTCAAGCTACATGTGCATTTAAAAATATCTAGATATCATTCCAAATAAGTAAACGTATAAAGTCATGAATTTAATGTGAAAAATCAAATAATTTTTAAGTTTAAGAATTTTTAAATCTTAAAAAACAACATTTTTATTTAATTTTTTAAGGAAACAATAAATGCCTAAACTTAATAAGTTAAACTTTTGGCCTAATTTATTTGTAAAGTTAACATTATCCTGCAATAATTGTAAACATTATGATTAATAACTATTTTCAATAAATACTAAATCGTAATTGTTAGTAATCCAATGATGAGAATTTCTGTTCAAAATTTATTTTGAAAGTATGAATTGTAAAATGAAATTCAAACTTGTATTTTTGAAAATTATCATTTTCAATTGTAGGTTTTTTACAAAAGTGACTGGCGCATTTCTACTGCAGGAAAACATGTAGGAATTATCAACGCTAAACGCAATGAAACCAAGAAAAACGACAATATCTTCCACATTATTTATCAGATAAAGGTTTCATATTTCGTATTTTTATTCAACTACAAAGCATGAGATAATACAAATAAGCAATCTCAATTTACTATGCAGTTTGGACCCGCCTAACCAGGGTAGGTTGGTTTAAGTGGTTGGCCCGAAGTTAATTAACGATACTGAATATAATTGGTTACACATATCAAATTATGTTTTTGGATAGGTAAGGAGTTGATTGGAAGGAAGGAGATCGTCAGGTGATCTGTGGCAGGGTGAGATCAGAGGCCGAGATAAATTAAAATACAGGGTGTTAAGGATGGATACAGAAACAGAAATAGGCTAATAAAGTTTCAGTTACTTTATTTTTTTTATATAAAATTTATTCACACGATATAAAACTAGGTTTGCATTTAAACCTCTCAAAATTCTCAAGATAAATATTGATTACTTTCTAAATTTTTGTTTAAAACCCGTTCTAATTTAGAGTATAGGAAGAAAGCAGCATCATCGGAGTGGTACCGGAGACCCCGACATTGTCAACGGAAACCCCGAAGTTTTCATGGGAGACCCCAAATAAATAGCTAACATTTTTGAAAATGTAAATTGCTTTTTATGGCGTAAAAACCTATGTATATAAATTCATTTTATCATAAACTTTTAAATTTGGATATTATTTTATGCATTTACAAAGAAATCTACAACATTTTAAAAATTTCAAAATTATCGTGCGTGTTTATTATTCATCTACTTATTACACCCTCCGCCCTCCCTCTCTACCTGTTTCCTCAATATTCAACCCCCCCCACCCCACCTCTCCTCCTAAAATAAATTTTTTAACATTTTATACAATCAAGAGATTTTAAATTTTCAAAAATTTTAACTATTTTATTTGGGGTCTCCGATGAAAACTTTTGGGTCTCCGTTGAAAATGCCGGGGTCTCCGGTGGGACGGGGTTTCTGGTAGCCCTCTGGTGATGATGCTTTCTTCCTGGACTCTCTAATTTATATGATTCTGTTCTAGCTTGAGACTTAAATATATTTTGGAAGGAAGAGAGAAGGTTATCATTAAAGTATCCATGCATAAATGTCAGAACACTAAGTTTGTATGTGTCATCAAGATTAAGAACTTTCAGTTTTGAAAATAATGGATTTGAATGTGCCTTTAAAGTACTATTATTAACCGCTCTGATTGCTTTTTTTTTTGCAAAGATCTGATTTTTTGCAGTTTAGAGTTTTTAACCCCTCCCCAAGTAACAATTCCATATTCAACATGAGTCATAAACAAGTAGACGAATATTTAATGGCAATTATTCAATTAATATGAGATAAAGCAAAAATTGAGCAATTTTATTCAAGATATGTACAAAGTACAATTTGAAAATCCCAGTTTAAAAATTTGAATTCAAAAAATTTGAAATATTTGTTCACACAGGTCATTACCAAATCTTTCAAGTATCTCTGCATTTCCTATTGATATATTACAACTGTTGGGGTCAAAGTGCATATTCCTATTTCTAAATAATATTTATTTCTTATACATTTAAAGTGTTAAAGGCGTTAACGTTGGTAGCTTTTAAGGAATTTCTTGTTAAATCGCGCCCTCATGCAAACTATAAATTTATAAAAGAATGTAAAGCACGTGAAAACATGAAAAAGTCGTATTTTTTAACAGAAAGCGCGCGCGTGCACATTTTCTCTAATTTATTTGAAATTGCATTTTGCAGTTGCAATACATATTAGTGAGTTTGCATGTCTTGCATGCAGGAAATCAGCGTCCTACGACAATGCTAATTGTTCGTTAAACCACTGTTTAAATTTTCCGGAGAGCAATATACGACTGATGCCCCCCTCCCCCTTAATGATATATTTTTAATAATTAAAGGCTTAAGACGTTTAAATAGTGGTTTAATCCCAAATTCAGTTAAACAAATAGATGTTTCAGCCTGGGTATACTGTCAGGGAATCTGTACCTATAGGATTTAATCTGTGTTATGAGCTTAGTTCACATTTTGCCGCTAGGTGTCTTAGAGTTAAGTTTCTTTAATCAAAATATCCTAAAATTTTGCATATTTTCGACAAGTAACTAAAAGTTACTTTGTTATCATACATATGCAATATATTGAGCTTAAAGCATGTACAAATGTTTAAAGATTTGTGATATTATCTTGAAAATACAGGGCTTTTAAAACATATATACGTAAAATATCCATTCTTACAGCTACAAATCCGTTATGATTTGAAACTAGGGTTAATATGCGTCGCATAATTAATAAGTTAACGAATATTTTTTTAAGTTCAGAATAGTCTCTGGGCTGATTGGAAACCATAAATTTTTTCTGATCTTAAATTCCAAGATCAATATCAGTCCCTGAACAATACCAACCACCCCCCATCCCCCTCATGAATTTTGTTTTTAAAAACTAATAATATTTAGACATCCCCCTCCTCTTGCACAACAATCCTGAAATTTAGTCTTTTAATATATAACTGAGGAACCTAGTTTAGCTAGTGCACCTCCATCTAGATTATATAACTGAGGAACCTAGGTTAGCTAGTGTACCTCCATCTAGATTATATAACTGAGTAACCTAGTTTAGCTAGTGCACCTCCATCAAGATTATATAACTGAGGAACCTAGTTTAGCTAGTGCACCTTCATCTAGATTATATAACTAAGGAACCTAGTTTAGCTAGTGCACCTCCATCTAGATTATATAACTGAGGAACCTAGTTTAGCTAGTGCACCACTATCTAGAT